TTTTTGCCAAACTTTTTCAATCGGTTGTGAATCCTTGGCTTGAGGCCTTGTAGGATCATGCCGTTGGCACGCTCTACTTGGCCGTTGGTCCTTGGGTGTCCTACGGCCGACCAGGCCACACGGATGTGGTGGTCGTCGCAAAACGTCAGGAACCTTTTGCCGGTGAACTGCGTCCCGTTGTCGGTGATGATGGTGTTGGGGACCCCAAACCTGTGGATGATGTCAGTGAAGAATAGCACCGCCTGCTCGGATTTGATTTGATTGATCGGACGAGCCTCGATCCATTTGGAGAACTTGTCGATTGATACCAATAGATGGGTGAAGCCCCGGGGGGCCTTTTGCAGAGGCCCGACTATGTCGAGACCCCATACGGCGAATGGCCAGGTGATGGGGATGGTTTGCAGGGCCAGGGCCGGGAGATGTGTCTGCCGGGCATAGTACTGGCATCCTTCGCAGGAGCGTACCAGCTTGGTAGCGTCAGCGACTGCCGTCGGCCAGTAGAACCCTTGGCGAAAAGCGTTCCCTACAAGCGTCCGAGGCGCCGCATGGTGCCCGCAGGCGCCCGCGTGTAAGTCCCAAAGCAGGGCTTGGCCCGCTTCGGAGCTGATACACCGTTGGAGGACACCTGAGGGACTTCGCCTGTACAATTTGCCGTTGTAGAGGGCGTAGGTCTTGGCTCGCCGTGCAAGCCGCCGTGCTTTGGTTTTGTCGTCAGGAAGCTCCCCCCGATCGAGCCAATTGAGGAACGGGACTCGCCAATCCGCGTCCTGATCAGTCCGTGGAGGCTCGGCGTTGACTACCATGACCTTGGGCTTGGTCGAGGGGGTCTCGACAGCAGAGAGGGCGTCGAGCTTCGCCGCGAGTTCCACAGGTGGGCCCTCCTCTATTGCCGAGGTGTATCCAATGGAAGGTTTGTGGAAGTCTCTGGCGAAGACGTTCGGGGGGACCGGGACCCGTGCTGAGGCCATCTTTGCCAGCTCGTTGGCGGCTTCGTTGTACTTCCGCGCGACGTGATTTAGCTCGAGACCGTCGAACTTGTCTTCTAGGCATCGTACCAGCTTGCAGTAAGCCTCCATTTTGGGGTCGAGGCAGTTTGACTCCTTCATCACTTGATCTATGACGAGCCGCGAGTCGCCTCGAACGTCGAGGCGTCGTGCCCCAAGTTCGATGGTGACTTGTAAGCCGTTGATGAGGGCCTCGTATTCGGCCACGTTGTTGGAGGCGGCGAAGTGGAGCCGCACCATGTAGCGCATGTGTACTCCGAGGGGCGAAATGAAGAGCAGACCCGCGCCCGCCCCGGTCTTCATCAGGGATCCATCGAAGTACAAGGTCTAGTATTCCGTCTGAATTTGAGTGGGTGCTCAGGTCGAGAGCGAAGCGCTGGCGGCGTTGCGAGGGGTGCTCGTGAGCGGCAGAGTAAGCGTAGGCGTACGAGGCGGCGGCATTTCTCAACCCAAAGGGGTATGGGGACGGTGCCGTCTCTAGATTCTGCCCCGCCGGGGTCGGCTCTTCAGGGAGTGGTGGAGCGGAGCTTGACGACTGGGCATCGCCGCGTGCCACAGGCAAGTTTCCTTTATCCAAGCTTAGGCTAGACAGGTCCCCATCCAGGGACCCTGTGCCAACAGCTGGTCGTAGGATATCGGCGGGGGGTGGCGTGTCACCCCGGATTCGCGTAGCATCGGGGTGGCCTTGTTCGTGCCGTGCTTGGCGAGCGCGGCGAGAGCGGACGCCCGGACGCCGCCCGCGCCTGGGCTACCGGGGCGTAACTTCATCGTTGGTTGGTGGGGCTCGAGGAGTGAGGAGCACCAAGTCGTACTCATGCCCTAGAGACATGAACTCTAGGCTCCCGAACCAAACCACGGTGCCGAGACGCAATGGTCGTACGTGGTCTGCCATCCGAAACCTGCTGGGATGACGAAACCGACACGCAGCGGCCCCTACCTGGCGTGCCAACTGTCGGTGTTTCGGACCGGGGGGTCCTCAACCAACCAGTGAATTTGTTCTGCGTGTTCCCGATCCGGATGGTGATGCAAAGAGACACAAGGTTTATACTGGTTTAGGCAATCGAGGCCCTACGTCCAGTCTGAGAGATCGATCTTGTATTCCTTGCACCGAGGTGCTCGTAGTAGGGGGTTACAAGCTAAAGGAGAGAAGGAGCTGGTCCTAGGTCTCGGCAGGGTGTCGTGCGGGCCGCTTGAGACGTTGCTCTCAGGCGGCAGGAGTGTGCGTGTGTCTGTGTGTCACAAGGTGTCTCCCCCCTAAGTGGCCCAAGTCCTCTCCTTTTATAGTTGAAGGGAGGACAAGGACCATACATGTATTACTATGCGGCGTCGTGCCAATAGGGGTGGCACGTCCGAGCCCTATGGCCTGTCCCTGTGGTGGCGTGGTCGTCGGAGTGGTCCATCCTTGGAGTACTGGGGCGGCGTGGTCGTCCCATCAGATCCTGTGCGTCGTGGGAGCCCCGGGAATGCCTCGGAGTGGACGCGGCGGAGAACGTGCAAGCCACTGTGAACGGACTGTGCGCGAGGCCGAGACTTGGTCGGTGCCGAGGCTGGCACTACGGTGGGGGGGGTCTCGGCAGGCACGAACCCCAAGATCGCCGAGGTCCCGATGTACAGTGCCGAGGCCTTGAGCGGGCGGCCGATCATGGGTACAGCGTTTGGACACAGTGGTCGGTAATCCCCGTCGTACCCTGTCCCAGCCGGTATGGCGCTGATCGTGGACACAGTGGTAGGACACAGTGGCCGGTAATCCCCGTCGTGCCCTGTCCCGGCCGGTATGGCGCTGATCGTGGACACAGTGGTAGGACACAGTGGCCGGTAATCCCCGTCGTGCTCTGTCCCGGCCGGTATGGCGCTGATGCGACCTCGGGTCGCGTCGGCCATCCTGTGGCGTTGAGCCACCGTCCGGCTGAGATTGCGGGAGTGGTTGAAGCATTAATGAGACATGACGAGTTGTCGGGAGGGTCGGCCGAGGCGGGGGGCGACGGACCGCGGACGAGCCGGCCTCGAGCGACACGGAGAATGAGGCCTCGCGCGAGACGGAGATCAGTTTCCTTGCCGAGGCCTCGCGCGAGACGCCTCGCGCGATACGGAGAATGTACCCCTGCCGAGGCCTTCCCTGGAGAGCCTCGGGCGAGACGGAGACGGCGCCCCCTGCCGAGGCCTACCCTGGGGAGCCTCGCGCGAGGCGGAGTTTGTTCCGAGACCTCCTGCTCGAGGTTCGAGGCGAGGTGGAGGAGGGCTCGGTCGTGGCAGGTGAGGGGCCCACGGCTTACCTTCTAGCTTTATTTTGATGTTTGCTTGGGGTACCCCGTTCTAAGGTACCCGACACAACTCAACAAGGAGAGTTCAGTTTTGCCATCTCCTATACAGGGCTCCGGCCAACGCTGGTGCTTGTACTGTGTGTGTATACTCTGTTCTTCCTCTTCTTCTACCTTAGCCATAGTGTGTGTGGTCGGACAACGCTTCTTCATGGTCGGCATAGCTAGCGGATGCTCGGCAACACTAGCGGGTGCTCGGCAAGACTGGTGAGTGGTCGACTCAACTAAGCCGGTGATCCTGTGGGCTAACACTATAGACAAAATGAAACATCATAAATCAATATAACATTAGTACCAAAAAATGAATGTTCCTAAATGCTATGTGTATCAATGTTACTATGTTGGAATTTATGGTGTAGTATCTTGTTGCCCTAGTTTTTGTAGTACAGGGAAAAAATTGTGGGTTCAGAATTCGTGACCTTTGGCTATAGTTATATGTGTTGGCTAAGTCGAATGTGTGGCTTATGTTTCAGTGCCTCCACATTTTGTTCCCCTCCTCTTTCTCCATATTGATTATTAATTTATTATACTGTTATTTGAAACTCCATTACAAGATCTGTTGGAAGCTTTGTCAAGTTGAAGCTCTGGATGGGAATGCTAAAATTGTTGTTGAAAATATTGACAAGAAATGGAAGAAAGAAGATGTGAGTACAATTGCACCCCTAGCTACCATTTTCTTTATTCTGTATTTCTGTGAATAACCTGCTTGGATATTTGGCTCCATTGTTGTCTGTTTGCTGATATCACCTAATTCTCTTCAAAGCAGATCATGAAGCTACTACACAAAACTGGAGTTGAGAACATTGATACAGTAACACTCATGGCTGACTGTGACAACCCAGGCTATAACTGTGGGTATGCATTTCTTGAACTTGAGACTGAAAGAGATGCATGGATGGCATACATAAAGCTTTCAAGGAAAGGTGTCTAAATATAACAGTTGCATGGGCTAAACCAATGAGTGATCCAGATGAAGAAATGCAGCAGGTCTCATTCTCTCCCTTTCTAACACACTGTTTTTGCCACTAATCGTTATTCATCCCTGAAAATCATGTGAGGCAATGGAAAGGCAATTTTGTTTCCGCGCTGCTGCGAGCGTTTACTGCCCGATCGTGGGTGTAATCGGCGTTTTGAAGGGCCGTATTTATTCCCGAGGCATTGGATTACATAGTACTTGAAACAAACAATAACTTACGTGATCTGTTGGCGGTGTGAACAGATGACGCTACAAAATGAGTAAACCAAACAGCACCTAATAGTTCATATACACCTTCAACTTATTATACAAGCACATATTAGCAGGTGCATCCAAACAGCCTCCAGCTAAAATCAATTGGCTAAAAATTTTTAGTGCTAATGAATCCAAACAGTCCTTAGAAATAAAGCAGGGAAAATCTATTATTCTACAAAGAAATGCTATCATGATCAAAAAAATAGTTGTAATTCAAACACAAAATAACTCAATTTGTCTAGAAACTAAAAAAATAGCACAGTTGTATAAATAATTTTCAACACATCAAGGTCCCGCTGGCCAAAAAAGTCTAGCAACATGAATTTGGTGTCAAGGTCGGGCCCGCAGTCTTGACTTTGGTAGTCCACCGGTTGTCTTGTCTGAAAAATCTCCGCGGCCCAACCACAGCCACCCCATCTCTCTGGCTGGTTCTTTCCGAGCGGCGTCATGGCAGCGGCACAGGCCTTTCTGAGCAACGCCGGGCGCTTGCTGAGCAAGGAGTACCAGCACCTCCGCGGCGTCGGCGGCCAGGTAGCCGAGCTGCGGGACGAGCTGGACGCCATGAACGCGCTCCTCGTCATGCAGTCCGAGGCGGACGACGGCGCCGTGGACCGCTTCCTGCAGGTGTGCATGAAGCAGCTGCGCGAGGTCGCCTACGACGCCGAGGACTGCATCGACCTCTACACCCTGTGCATCGAGTCCCGCCGCACCGACGGCGTGCGCGCCTGTCTGGGACGCCTGCTCGGGACGCTCCGGTCTCGCCGCCGCCTCGCATGCGAGATCGGCGCCTTCCGCGGCCGCGCCGTCGCCATCAGCGAGCGCCAGGCGCGGTTCGGCGTCAACCGGGACGCACTGCGCCGGTTCGCTCCTCTGCTACCTGGGGTCCCCGTATCGGCGGCGTCATCGTCCACTCCTGCTAGCAACGCCGACGACCGCCGCCGGCTGGTCGGCATCGAGGATCAGGCTAACGCCCTGGCTGCACGGCTGAACGCGCCGGTTGGCGAAGAGGCCGCCGCGCGCATGGCCGTCTTCTCCATCGTGGGGTTCGGAGGCCTCGGCAAGACGACGCTGGCCGTGGAGGTGTGCCGGCGGCTGGAAGCGGAGTTCCCGTGGCAGGCGATGGTGTCCGTGTCCCAGGCGTTCGAGCCGAGCAGAGACCTCAAGGCGTTGCTCAACGACCTTCTTCGGCAGGTCGTGAAGCCCAAAACGGCTGACGACAGGGGCATCAAGGAAGAGGCTGCACTGGGTGCAATTGACGGCCTGGATGACAACGGGCTTGCCAAAAGACTCGAGGAGGTTCTCACCAACAAGAGGCACATAGTACACATAGAGCTTATTCTTCTTCTGCTCAATGGTATGGTACCAAAATATTGGGCCTACATGATAGCCTCATCCTTCTCACCTGCAGGCATGTGGGCCCCACATGTTAGTGTCACACTGTCGTGTAATCAACGTGCCACACATGCAGATTAACTCAAATTGTGGTAATTTGGATCTCATGTGACATGGTCAATAAGTTTAAAGACCTAGATATGTGTTTCAAAAGTAGGAACCTAACCAAAAAATCACCTCGAGCCAAGTTGGATGACGAACTATGTATTTTACTCTATGGTCATGATAGCACAATATGTATCTCTTTGCAATTTCTACTCATCACTTACACGTATAATTTAGAAAATGAGAGCTAAATTAATATTTTAAGTGAAACATATGAAACGGTACATGGTATATCAACATTCATGATAATTAATTTTGTTATAATGGTATATATGTAGGTTTGAAGTAGGTATTTGTGTTCTTTTGTCTAGCTTTTTTTCTTTCATAAATGCATAGTTAGGTAATTTAAAAGCAGACACCAGAGTATCTAGGAGGTCCACTTTTTTCATAATCAAATGTTGATTATGTATAAGCATGTGTGTGGAAACTTTGAGTTTGCTTTTGTATACAGCAGTAGAAAATTTAGAAATATGTTAGATCTAATAGTTATTGTAGTAAATGACGATGTGAGTTCAATGTTACTATATTCTAAATAATACTTATACTAATTTATAAGGATGGTTTTTTTCTAACACGTCCCATGGGTTAAACGTGGGCCTCAAAATTTAATTAAAGGAGCCTCCAATTAATATACACATATTGTAAAAATCACTTCTCATGGTAGTCCTAATGGTACCATATTTACACTATTTACTATTACTAGTGAGTCTTCTTCTAAAACCTCAACATTGATTCTATTTAGGAACGCCAGAAAAAATATAAAGACTCAAAATTCACACAAAAATGATAAATATTTGGCCATGGATCTGATAGACTCTAATAATTGCCATTATTCAATCTATTCTATTTTTCTAACTACCACATGTATCATTATGAAAGTACTCAGAAGCTACACCTTAAATTTAAATCTAAACTACCCACCTCTATTATTGTGAAAATAACATAAGGTAAGCCCCTAATTATCCATGCATCTGTGCCACTATGAAAGTATAGCCTCTTAAATCTGCATTTAAATTATCAGCCCTTCCACTATTGAAAATAAGCTAAAGTAACATATAGCTACGTCATTATGAAAAATAACATAAAGTAATTGTCTAAACTTACATCTACCAGCACCTGTCATTTAAAAAATAACAGTATTATATATATGTGGTTCTAAATTATTGGCCTCAAACTTTGAATATAGAAACAAACTAACTGTAGTACAATAATGACATGAGTCACCATTCACGATTTTGTCACACCCAATTTTAAGGATAAAATGTGATGCAAAATCTTATGTGCGCCCAGAGATCAGTCACACACATAAGCCGATAAATTATGAATAGTATCATCATAAGTGTTTATTACATCACGAATATTAAGACAAAGTCTTCACATAGATATAACGAAAGTATAACGAAAAGATCTCTCGTGAAAGCTCCATTTCACAGGGACGTCGACTGGTTGACCACAAGTCTAGAAGTCCTCAGGGAAATCATCATACCCATAGCCATCTGTTACCCATCCGGGATTTTTATCCAAGTAATGAAAATAAACCAGCGTAAGTACATGTCGTACTCAACAAGTGTAACATGGGGGTTATGAGGCTCGAAAGGCTTGACATAGGTTTAACAGCATTTAGCTTTTAGTTGTCACAATTTTAGCATAAGAGTAGCAACAAGTTGTTTCAATTCCCAATACAAAACACATGATCGATGTAAACATGAATAATGAATAGCATAAACAGGTAATACTTAGTGTTCATCTATTCCGTAAATCACTATAACACGATGTACCTTTGCCGACACTTTCTACTGTCTGCAAAGGGCACCTTTGCCGACACTTAACCTCCCGCCAAAAGTTTCCCTGACAGTTTAGAAACAGTCGTGCTATAAACTATCGGTGAAACTTTTGCCGACACTTAAAGGAATCGCCGACACTTTTTGCGTAGCCAAATGTTGCACCTACGCCGACAGTTACAACCTTTGCCGACAGTTATCCCTTTCCCGACAGTTAAGAGCTACGCCGACAGTTAAGACCTTTCCCAACAGTTTGCATGTTGGCGAAACCATTTACAAGGTGTTTAGTGAATCACACCCTGTCCAGCAATAAAAGTGTCAGTAAAACTGTATTGCAGATATAGATATAAACAAATACAATTTAAATAATTTGAAAAATCCACTATTGCTCATATAGTAGGTATCACATTGAGCAAATCCACATGATTTATAGAAATAATATATTACATCTTCCATGCATACACCAACTAGATATCATATCATATATATATATATATATATATATATATATATATATATATATAGCAGGTCAATACATATATAGATCCAAACACAGGTCAAGTGATGATCACATTACATAGAGGCGCCATACATATACAGGTCCAGGATATAGATTAGACATTACTAGACATATATAGACATACACTAAGTCTTGTACTAACTAGTTATGGTTAAAGCTAAGAGATCAATAGATCAGGACTACTTGGGCACAAACGTGGCATTCAACACTTCCATGTCTTTGTCCTACACGATAGTAGGTGCAAACAAAAGAATAGAACTGCAACATGTCTTCCTGCAACAATTCTCGAACACTTGCTTGTTGCCACTCCAAAATACTTGAACACCAACTTGGTGCACATATGGTTCTTGCCAGAGAACATGTAATGACTCTCCGATCGAACCTCAAAAGGGTGCCAATCCAAAATACTTGCAACACCACATAGCTTAAGTACCTAACCTGAAAAAAGGCAAAATATCGGTCAAATGTGGTCTCATATCATCAACTCTTAGGTGCAAATAGTGAAACAAGAATCACTGTAAGTGGGCAACTATGCTATCATTAACAAAGAAGCAGCAGACAATTTGATAGCTTGAGTGGTTACTAGACTCTAAATCAACACCTCAGTTTATAATTGATAGCTTATCTCCTTTCAATATTTGTTGCAACCAAAGTTTAGTTTCCATTGTAAATTCACAAGATTCCATTTATTTTTACCAAAGTATGCCTCTGAGGTTTTGCCATGTGATATGTATTGAAGTGATATGTGGGGTTCATTCTTGCTTAAAAGATTGCAATTCTGTATTGCTGTAGTTATTAGCTAATAAAAGTTATAAAATCTCATCAGCATGGTCACTATATATATTATAGATAAAAAACATGAGAAAAAAACGACTATATATTATGATCTCTCTTGTCGGTTGATTAATCCAAGTGTGGCAACAAGAACTGCAGATTAAGCGATCACAGCTAGCTAGGTGGTCGAATAATCATCGGCCTCACTGGTCCTAACAAACAATGCAAGCAAGCGGACAAACTAGATGTGCAGGTTTGGATTGCCCCCCTCCAATCACCTAGTAGTAACAAATTTATCTGTTTCTAAACAAAACAAATTTATTCATGGGTTGGAAATGTAATGATATGGCTCCTGCCGTTGATTGTTATTTTCTTGACCATCAATTGATAGATCCATATATAAGTAGTAGACTACCATTTGCATGCACGTATATGTATGGTCTTTGAGTCTTTGGAGGGCTTGGAGCCCGTAATTATGTCGATGAATAATTAGCACACAATTATCATCTGCTTTGCAAACTACTACACACGTTAAAGAAGAGTAGTCGCAGAAGTTCTTCAAGTGAAGCGAGAATAGAGGTGCAAAGTTGGATGAAATTATTTTTTCACTTATTATTTATACTACCATGCTAATTTCAGCCACTTAGACTCTACAACCCAGGAGCACAATTCTCTACATCTACATATAGAACTCAGAAATGGCTCAAATATTCTTCAAGGAGCATCAGTCCCTCCGGTTTGACACTATCTAATTGGCAAATCATATAATTCAACCTGCCGATTTATCAAATCAAAACATTCGCTATCACAAACCTCATTGCTTTCCCACATTTCAACCAGTTTGGATCACATATATAAGTCAAAATGTTTAAGTAAAATACCTTCAAGTGCGATGGCCTTCCTGTGCCACCACCTTTTGAGTGTCATGGTGACTTCTTGTCATCCCTCATCTAGTAGAAAACAAATATATTAGTAATCAAGCAAAAATATAATGATCATTTTTCAAGAATATAGAGAGGTTACAGAAGACTGTCATGTGGCCATGCAATGCATCTCCCACGAGCCTCTATAATGGTGCTGACCCCTTCATATGGACAAGGCAGTACTGCATTCCTCATAAACACATGGTTCACAACTACTTCACAGTACTCCATGCCAAGAGCAGTACCCCCAACTACTTCACCATTTCCTACTTGTCTACCCTCATCGCCTTTCAAAAATTTGGAGCAGGAAGTAAGACTCTCATCAAATTTGTAGGCCTCACAAATTGATCCCTCTGGATGACTTCTAGTACGAACAGAGCCCTTCAGCTTCATCAAATACCTAAGAAGTAACAGTTTTAGCGTGGAATCTAACTACAAATATGTTCAATAGCAATTAAAAATAGTTTGGTACCTCTCTACTGCCCACATGCTACGATAGTGTACAGGACCAGCAAGTCTTGCTTGAGCAGGCAGATGCACCATCAAATGTACCATGATATCAAAAAAAGATGGCAGAAATATAGTCTCAAGGACACTTAGTGCCTCGGCTATTTCAGCCTCTAGTTTTTGCATATCACTGATACGAATAGTGGGTGAGTAGATCTTCTTGAAGAAATTACTCACACGAATCAGTGCTGCACTAACTCTTTCTGGCAATTTATTCCGAACAGCGACGGGAAGTAATTCCTGCAACAATATGTGGTTGTCATGGCTCTTTAATCCAAATACCTTCTTCTCCTTGACTTGCACATTACGACGCATATCAGATGCATAACCATCTAGAAACTTCACATCCTTCAATACTTGGCAAAACGCTTCCCTGCCATCAGGACTCATTGTAAACTGTGTTGGAGGTAAATAGAACTCATCTTCTACACTAACAGGATGAAGATCACTTCTAATGCCAAGTTTCTGGAT